TTTCTTTTTGATAGGTTCCTAGAAGGATAATGACTTAGGTTCAAATGTATGAACATATTGACTACATTCTGTTTTTAAAGTTTACTAATAAAGACAATTGAATAGCTTGCTTCATTGGACTATCAGGGAATTCTTGGCTCTGCAAATTAAATTCTTAGAATAAATGCTAGCTGGTAGATTACAAACCTAAGGTTTATCTAAAAATCTAGTGCTCTTCAAAATCTCTTTGTGATAAGCCATTAGCAATAAAGAGAAGATAAAATGGAGCATTTCTCTTTTTATAGTAAACTCTAACAGACGCAGAAGTGCAAGTGTGGTTCAGGAGACCTTGCCCCGCTTTCTGTAACCCCTCAACTGCATTCATTCCTTGGCATTCCCTTCCTAACACCTGCCCTTTAAATCCTTCACTTTGCACTGTCATTGGACTTTTAGATTCCCTCCTTATCTCTGACCTTTTTATTTAAGGATGTGACTTTTGATTAACCTTTGCCCTGTGGGTCAGCAGTTAAACTGTGCATTCTCCCAGACCTTTCATCTTTTGCCTTTTTAGGAACAAAGCCAGTCGTGCATAATGTACACTTATTTTGGCCATCTCAAGCCATTCTTAGGTGATGAAACCTCCTAAGGCAGGTGCTGCCAGGGGTATCCTTGAATAGGAATTATGAGAAAAACTTTTAAGAAGAGCACTAGACTTTGGGTTTCTCAGAAAAGTTCAGCCTGTTCAAGTTTCATTTCAATGTCATCTTTTAGAGTTAAAAAGCTAAAAGAGTACTCTTAATGGAGTCAGTTGTCATATAAATTTTCACATTTTAAAAGTGAGGGGTCAGTTGCAGTGCTGCTGCAGGGATTAAATATTAGAAACTCTTCCTGAACTCAAGCAGATTTTAGCTTTTTAAGGGAAACAGAATACACATAGATGTCTATAACATAAGGTAGAAGAAATAAGGATCGTAAAGCACATAAGGGGATTCTAAGGAAGGAGAGATTAGATTAAGTACTAGAAATCTAGGAGATGGTGTTTAAGATCAGCCATGGGCTGGCGCAGTGGCTCATGCCTGTAATCCCAGCACTTTGGGAGGCTGAAGCAGGAAGATCACTTGAGCCCAGGAGGTTGAGATCAGCCTGGGAAAGATGGCAAGACCCTGTCTCTACAAAAAAATAAAATAAAAAATAAAAATAAATAGACAAGTGTGGTGACATGCACTTATAGTCCCAGCTGCTCAGAAGGCTGAGGCAGGAGGCTCCCTTGAGCCCAGGAGTTTGCGGCTGCAGTGATGGTGCCACTGAACTCCAACCAGAGTAAAAAGGATCAGCCATGTGGAATCTGACATAGATGGAGGGGCGAGTAGAACAAGTGAGAACGGGAGCATTCATGCAAGCCTGTGGCATCACAGGAGTCAAGTCAGAAGCAGCAAAGAGCGGGCATGTTTGTGGATCTTTAAGTAAAGTAGTTTCACTGGCATGTACAATACATATAGTCATTGCGGAGGGTGAAGGGAAGGAAACACTGGCCCCGGGCTGCAGAGGGCCAGGTTTGCTAGGTAGACAATCGGGTGGACAAGATACTGAAGGTTTTGTAGCAGAGAAGTGATCACGGCTGTAGTACAGCTGTGAATTGAGAAGGCCCATTAGGGAGCTGTGAGAAAAGTGACATGAAGAGGAAGAAGATTGATTTCAGGTGACGCTGGTTTTTTTCAGGGGAGCTGGTGGGGGGTCGGAGGCACGTGTCCAAGCCAGGACAGCGGTTGTGAAGATGAGAGAAGGGGTGAATGTGCTTAGTAAATTTATGAAATTTTTCTTTAAATGAAAATAACAATTTCTTTTCTTAAATAATTTATTTGCAATAAATTAACAAGTAACAAATTAAAATCAATGGTTAAAAACTCACAAAACATCAACAAATAAAGTCTTTGGTTGATATATCTAATCATGTTTTACAAAGCACAATAATTGAATTTCAGTAAGAAGACATATGAAGAAGATTACTGAATGCTATAGAAAAGAGGCAAGCATAATGATAAGGTGCTTTTTCATTTTCAATCCTAAAATGCCTGGTAGCTGAACAGGGCTATAGAAAGTCTAAACAATGTCTGTAGGCCTGGATCTGGGTCCTGGGTTTCCACTAACTGCACATGTGGCCTCTGGAAAGTCACTTCAAAACACTCTAGAACCATTTTCGCCTCTGTAAAATAAGGGGCTGGCATTATTCCACAGCCCATCAAATAATCTATATGAATCAATGGACCTGTTTATACCTGGTTTCTAGAAGTTTCTAGTGGGGTCCATAGCAGACCAAACATTTCTTTTTCTTTTTCTTGAGACGGAGTCTTGCTCTCTGCTGGGCTGCAACTGCCGCTTCCTGGGTTCAAGTGATTCTTCCTCCTCAGCCTTCTGAGTAGATGGGATTACAGGCACCCGCTACCACACCCAGCTAATTTTTTTTGGAGATGGGGTTTCAACATGTTGGCCAGGCTGGTCTCAAACTCCTGGCCTCAGGTGATCCGCCTGCCTTGGCCTCCCAAAGTGCTGGGATTACAGGTGTGAGCCACCATGCCTGCCCATAAACACTTTTGTTTCAGTTACAGAGTAGCATAGGTTATATAATCTGTTGAAACTATTCTGTTGGGCTCAAATGGTCTATAAACAGATGTACCATCCACTGAACTACAATGTTTTTGAATCATAAATTCTTGCTGCTGCCATCACCAAGCCTTAATTAAGTACAGGACATCACAGAGAAGACTCTAGAATGATTTTTGAGTTAGCTTCCAGTCTCCAGTTACCTTGTGGAGGTTTTGGTCCACATTTGACTATATTTCCTTTTTGACAGTCACCTTCTTTTTTTCTCTTTCCTTCTTTGTTTTCTTTGAGATAGGTATCATTATGTTGCTCAGGCTGGCCTCAAACTCCTAATATCAAGCAGTCCCCCTGCCTCAGCCTCCCGAGTAGCAGGGACTGCAGGCACATGCCAGCACACCTGGCTTAACAGTCACTTTAACCAAACATGACTTGCTGTACAAAAATGCAAGCAGGCAAAAGAAATCATTTCGGAGGTGAATTATACAGATTAATGATTTAAATGTTGATTCATTTAGTATAGGATTTTTTGCAACATTTCTTTAAATAGTTTCCCCCTCATATAGTTTAATGAGAACTCAGTCTCCTCATGACTTTTCAGGAGCACTCTGTTAATTTCAGTGGAAAGGCCTTCTTAGTCCAAGATCACGGCCCCCTTTGACACAGATCACGACCCCAGCAGCAGAAAAGTGGACTCATCCTGGGAAGAATGGCAAAATCCTATATTTTGGCAATGAGATGCTCTTGCTTTCCTTAGCAATATGTTAAAACAAAGCTAACATAAAAATACCGTAAAAAGTGTTATTTTTATTTAATTTCAGATGAGAGAGTAAGTAATTTTGATTGATAACTGTCATCAAAACTTTGAATTGTACTATCACCCAGTAATTTGGGGGTAAGCTTGTGTCCATATAAGATAGTAAGGAGAAAAAAAAAAAGCACATCAGGGAAACCATTTTGGTCTCTTTGCTTATGTGTTTCCCTGGACCATTCGGGGTTGGTGGGGAAGTTTTCCAAATGCAGTTTAAATAAAGGGTCTAAAAGGAAAACTTACTGGTTCAAATAAATGCATTGCATTACAAGTACGAAAGCTGTATAGAGTTTAACGACATAGTGACCTTTCTGTTTCAGGGGAATTAGATTGTAAGAGTTTCATCCAGTTTTCTTCCGATCACCAGACCAGGGAGGCTCATTTCAACTTTTCACAAGTAAAATACCTTCTTTCTGAGTGGCAGGAAATTTAAATTCCTCCATTGTGTATACACTGGAAATCCCTAATCTCAAATCCATCCATTTTCTACCTATGGTTCAGAAGGTTTTAAAACCAATGTACTGTCAAGAACTTTGGGGAAATAAATTGTCCCAGATATAATCAAATGACATTATTTGTATTCCAGGTTTAACTATGGGATTTATCTTTGACTCCAAGTATCATCAGGGTGGCGGATGGTGACGGATTCTGCCAGATCTGTGCCATTTCATTAACTTGTTGGGTACCAGCCCTCCAAGCCTAAGACTAAGCTAATGCTCCATAGCAAAGAAGACAAATTACAAATTCCTTAGTTCATTAGAGTCTGGTATTACATTTCTATTGTTTACTCTAAATGTTTTGTTTAAACTAAGCTCTCTGCTAAATGAGTCGTTAAACGGTAATGTTTGGATTTTCATAATTATAATTGAATTTTACAGGTCTTAAATCAGCAGGAGTTCAGGCTGAGTGAAAAGTTTTAATGCATGACATGTGAAACCAAGGCTTTAGCTAACTTATTTCAGCTAACTGTTTTTCATAAGAAAACTATGAACTCTAACACATAAATTGTCCAGTTCTTTCCTCTCACAGATATAATTCACTATTTGGCTTTAGTAATCACTTATGTACAAATGGCTCAGCACAAGTAGCACCTCACATTTCCACAGAGTTAAAAGGATACAGAACTTTTTCACATATATCTGCTGCATTCCTGTAATCCCCACCCCTTAGCAGGGGGCGGGGTGTGTCTTTTCTCCACAGCTTTTTCCCAAAAGTCTCCCAGGTTGGTTTCTGCAGGGGTTATCTTTCTATTCATCAATCTTAAGATTGATTTTGTTCACTCTTGATCAAATACATCTCATTTTTCAAAACCAACTTTAAAATCTGTTCTGAGGAAAGCATATGCTACTCATCCATCTGCAGCCCATTATTAGAAAACTTTTTCTTTTTTTTGTTTTTAGAGGGAGTCTCACTCCATTGTTCAGGCTGGAGTTCAGTGGTATGATCTTGGCTCACTGCAACCTCCCCCTCCCAGGTTCAAGTGATTCTCGTGCCTCAACCTCCCGAGTAGCTGGGATTACAGGTGCGCACTACCACACCTGGCTCATTTATATATTTTTAGTAGAGATGGGGGTTTCACTATGTTGGCCAGGCTGGTCTCGAACTCCTGACCTCAAGTGATCTGCCCACCTCAGCCTCCCAAAGTGCTGGGATTATAGGCATAAGCCACTGCGCCCAGCCCATCAATCTTAAGATTTTGTTCACATCTCATTTTTCAAAACAAACTTTATGTTCTGAAGGAAGCATATTCTACTTATTCATCTGAGATCCCTTATGAGAAAACTTTTTTCTTATAACTGAAGACATAAACAGTGATTTTCAACCCTTTTTTTTTTTCTTACTTAGAATTTTTTATCCAAAAGTCTTATGCAGAACCTGGATTTAAAATAGGCAGAGGTAGGCTGCTTTACCTGACATCCCTGGCAGGTGGCAGCCCACCAGTGACATTCCTCATGGCTCCTTTCAGGTCCCTGTAGCTGTCTCTGTGCCACCTCCCAGGAAGCTTAAATTCATGCTTCACGAGTTATCATCAAGTCAACTCTGGACCGTGCAAAAGTCTGTCCACAGCCAGTGATTTCTGAGCAAGCGCTGCCCAGGGAGATGACAGCCAGGGCCACACTAAGGAATGTGGTGGCTTGGGCCAGGTGAAGGAACCTTGTAGTTCTCAAGCAGAGTCCTGTCCTCCAGGCCAGGCAGGGGGGGTCCTTGAGGGAAGAGCCCCAGAAAGTTTCCCTGAGCAGCCATTCCTGTTTGTTGCAGGCTTTGCTCCCCCAAGACCTTGACCAAGAAGTTGATATACCTCATTGCCAGGCGAAGCGTTTCATTTTTGCTCAGCTTTTTGTCTGGAGGGTGAGTGGGGATGAGCTTCCTCAGCTTGGCAAAGGCGCTGTTGACATTCTGCTGCCTCCACCGCTCCCTGGTATTTGTGAAGATCTTCCTGGTCATGTTTGAGTTCCTGAGATGGAAAGAAAAAGGGCCCTCAGGGCCAATATCTTATAAGAGGCCTGATTGGGATCACGCGTCCTGCCAAGAACCTGAGATGTTAGATTTTCTCGACTCAGAGCTTAGGAGATTCATTTCCTCAATTTCAGGTTTTTTGACAAGAGAAGAAAATGTCGTAGAGAGGGGAAGGTAAGAACAACACCCTTCAGCCTTTCTCCCTGGCTATTTTGAAGCCTCCAACTGAAAGACTGCTTTGTCCCAATACTCCTATTTCTTCCTTTATAACCAAGCCTTTCTAATTATTCGGAATCAGGTACAATATTGATTGAGTTTATGTGTGAATACAATATGTTTGGCCAATAGAAAGTTTTTTTTTTTCTTTTTTGAGATGGAGTCTCACTCTGTCACCCAGGCTGGAGTGCCATGGCACAATCTCAGCTCACTGCAACCTCTAGCTCCTGGATTCAAGCAATTCTCCTGCCTCAGCCTCCAGAGTAGCTGTGACTATAGGTGCCTGCCGCTATCTTTGGCTAATTTTTGTGTTTTTAGTAGAGATGGAGTTTCACCATGTTAGCCAGGCTGATCTTGAAGTCCTGATCTCAGGTCATCTGCCCGCCTTGGCCTCCCAAAGTGCTGGGATTGTAGGCATGAGTCACCCAGCCACCAACAGAAAGTTGAGTATGAATCAACACTGTATTCTCAGAATGAAGCAAAAAAAGAAAACGATTCTAGGTTTCATTAATAAAATAAAATTTGGAATGGAGAAGACAATACAGCTCTCTCGTTAGCTGGCAGACCCCAGCCAGTGGATTCAGCCCCTCTCTGTAAGAACGGAAATATCCAGACTGGACTATATTTAGGGGAGGAGGAACAGAGTGATGAAGGGTCTTGAAACTGTGTTGTTGGGGTATTTAGTCTCACAAAAATGAAAAGACAAGTCGCAGGTGGGAGTGGTCTTTTGGCGTGGATTCCATAGTAGATACCTGGGCCTCTTCGGGCTGCACTGGATGACCTTTCCAAGTCTAGAAGAGTGGTTTATCATCACACACTGCCAAGTATTATGCAGCCGGTTTTCACTCTTAGAGGCATGGACCCCTTTTTTTCAGGTGGCTTAGATTAATATGTGTTATAGGAACACTTGGGATGCACTGGCAAACAAGCCAAAGGCCAGCCTCAGGCAGGTTGGTATTTTGGCTTACTGCTATTGGTCTGCTGCCTGCTCCACGCTCAGCTCCCCGGGCACTGAGCCCTTTCTAGTTCTCTAAAGAGTCATGAATATTCTCAACTCTACCCTTTTGCACATTGTCGTTTTCTGTTTTGCATTTCCTCCCCACTCTCTACTTACCTATTTCTTTAAAGAGCAGTCAGATCTTAACTTTCCACCAAGCCCTGACTCTACAGGAGTCTTCAGAGAATTCAGCCATCAGTGGAGCCATATGCATGGTGGTCAAGAGCACAGGCTCCAAGGCCAGAACCCTGGTTTGGCTGTTGGTTCTACTCCCCCCAGCTGTGTGACCTTCAGCAATCTACTTAACCTCTCTGTGTTTCAATGCCTCATAAGTAATGATCAGTTCAGGGGTACTGCATCATCGTGAGGACACATAAAATGATGTACATAAAGCACCTTAGCTCAGTGACTGGTGCATAGTGAAGGCTCAATAAATATTTAATGATTGGCCCGGCTCTATGGCTCACACCTGTAATCCCAGCACTTTGGGAAGCCAGGGTGGGCAGGGCATGAGATGAGGAAATCGAGACCATCCTGGCCAACATGGTGAAATCCCGTCTCTATTAAAAATACAAAAATTAGACGAGCATGGTGGTGCATGCCTGTAGTAAGAGCCAATCAGGATGCTGAGACAGGAGAATTGCTTGAACCCAGGAGGTAGAGGTTGCAGTAAGTCAAGATCACTCCACTGCACTCCAGCCTGGGTGATAGAGTGAGACTCTGTCTCAACTACAGCAACAAAAAATTAATAATTATTATCTCTACAAATAAAACAGAGAAAAGTAAACATTGTAATTTATCATTTTCTTCCTAATGAAGAAGTTATCATGCAGTAGAGAAGGTCTGAGCTTTGTTTATGTGCTCTTTTGATTCACTTTACAGGAATATACGTGTGTGTGTGTGTGTGTGTGTGTGTGTGTGTGTGTTTGTATGCAGAGCATAAACCTGGAAGGATTCAGGACAAACTGTCAACAGTGGTTCCCTGGGGGAGGACAGTAGATTGGGAGAAGAGAAAAAAGGGAGAGAGACTTGTGGTGTTTTATTCTGTATGCCTTAGTATTGTTTTATATATATATATATATATATATATACACACACACACACACACATATACATATATATGTAAATATATGTATATATATGTATTTTTTTTTGAGACGGCATCTCACTCTGTTGCCCAGGCTGCAGTGCAGTGGCACGATCTCGGCTCACTGCAACCTCCGCCTCCCAGGTTCAAGCGATTCTCCTGCCACAGCCTCCTGAGTAGCTGGGACTACAGGTGCGTGCCACCATGCCCAGCTAATTTTTTTGTACTTTTAGTAGAGACGGGGTTTCACCATGTTGGCCATGTTGGTCTCGGTTTCCTGATCTTGTGCCCTGCCCACCCTGGCCTCCCAAAGTGCTGGGATTACAGATGTGAGCCACCACTCCCAGCTGTTTTATATTTTTATAAGAAATTATTCGTATATTATTTGCTTCATAATAGAAAAAAAATGTTTTAAATGCCATGGGCTTTAGAACAGAAACACCCGGCTTTGACCCTCTACTCTCAATTTCCTAGTTATCAGCTAACTCCTCGAAGCCTCGGTTTTCTTCTCTGGAGGGAGATACAGCCATCTGCAGGACTTTCGCGAGGATTACATGAAATGCATTATAAAGTGTCTGGCACGTGGGTGCTAAATAAATGCAGCATTTTCTTCTCTATACACATGGAAAGCATCATTGTTGCAAAGAAAAGCATTTTTCTTTCTCTCTGTGCTTTTTTAAAAAAACTATTTTTGGTAGAGAGAGGGTCTCACTGTGTTGCCCAGGTTGACTTGGAACTCCTGGCCTCAAGCAATCCTCCTGCCTCAGCCTCCCAAAGTGCTGGGATTACAGGCCGACCACCACACCAATTGCATTTTTCAATCATCTCTGTGCCCCCGGGACATTTCCCCATCCCAGCTCCTTTCCTGTTGCCTCTCCTGCTTGTGTCTGAGTTGCAGAGTCCAGTGCTATGCTGCAAATTCACAGTGAACTGGAAGAACTGCAGCCCAAGGTCACTGCATGGCTTCCGGCTCCCTCCACTGTTTACTTGGACCCACATCCTCTCTCTGTGGAGACATTGCTAGTTGGACCCACGGACCAATTACAATACTATGCACTCCAAGCTTTGGGACCAACGTTTACTGAACCAGGTATAATGCTTGCTGGCAAGTGCTGAGAGGCTGGCTGATCGTTTTGACGTGTGAGGGAAGCACTGGGACTACAGGAGCGGAGCAGCAGCAGCTAACCAGGAACTCTAGCAGGCTCCCAGGCAGGCCAGGTCTCCTTCCAAAACTGAAAGGGGTGGGCCAGGTGATCCCCAAGGCCTCTTTCTACTCAGAAATGTCACAATGCCTCGCCCACTGCCTTTTTTTTTTGAGACAGATCTTTGCTGCTGTCACCCAGGCTGGAGTGCAGTGGCCAATCTTACAGTCTTGGCTCAATGCAACCCCTACCTCCCATAGCGCAGTCTTGGCTCAGTGCAACCTCTGCCTCCCAGGTTCAAGCAATTTTCCTGCCTCAGCCTCCCAGGTAGCTGAGATTACAGGCACCTGCCACCACGTACAGCTAATTTTTGTATTTTCAGTAGAGACAGTTTTTCACTATGTTGGCCAGGCTGGTCTCAAACTCCTGATCTCAGGTGATCACCTGCCTCAGCCTCCCAAAGTGCTGGGATTACAGGCATGAGCCATCATGCCCAGCCCCATTGCCTTTTATCTAACCTAAGTCATTTCTGAATAACCTGACCTCTCATATTACTAGGAAAACATGAATGCTGTCAGAACTATACCCAAGTATACCTAAAATGTAAAAGTTTGAACCTGAATCAAGGGGATTTTAAGGTAGAAAACTGTCCAGTTTTTTTCACAGGGACATTGGCCAGGATTGTAGGAGCAAAGTTACATTCACACTTCTCTTATCAAAAGAGGGTCTAGTTCATTCACTAAGCCAACCGTAGTCCCATGGGGGGTCTTTTTCAAGCTGGGAGGAAAAAAGATTAGGCAGGATAAACTAACTGCAGTGTTCTTTTCTAAGAGGGCTCTATCCTATTGTATTAGAAACAGACAGAAGAAAACAGAGAAGACTGGCTTCTAAAATGTAGTCTGCCATCCTAGGAGGTGCTTAATCATTCCTTGTTGATTTATCCTCAAGTGTGTTCCTCTCCTTCTCCACAGGGGAAACAGAAATCAGTGATTTAACAAGCTGGAAAAGCTCAAAGTAGAGGTCACTGGAAAATCAGTGCAGTACTTATTAAATCAAAGGAAAATTGCATTTAGTGTTTTTCCAGTTGCAAGGACTGATTGCTGCTAATCGTGATTTCAGAGTAACGTAAGAGCTAAAAAAAAAATACACTAAATGCCACAAAATCAGAGAACATCTGATAGATGCCAAAACAGAGGCAAAGCATTTAGGCCACACAGGGACTCAGCAGTACAGCCTGTGTCCCAGAACTGGATATTCGTGCATTTACATCACCATTGAGGACTCCTGCTGGGTCAGGGTTCATAACCTTTTTTGTACCATGGACCCTTTTAGCAGTCTGGGGAAGCCTAGGAACAGATTCCTTTTCAGAACAATGATTTTAAATACATAAAGTAAAAAGGCTTTGGATCCCATCTCACAATAATTATTTTAAGTCCATAAATTAAAATATATAGACACAGAAAACCAATTATTTTTAGTAGTTGTTAAAATAACTTAAAATACAATATAGCAATACATGTGCTTCATTTTTAACCCATTAAATAACTAGACATTACGATAATCTCTAAAAAGTGAATGTAGGTGATGTTTTCAAAAGGTCTGCAACATCTATGACATGAAATGCATGTATTTATGATTTCTACTGGTGACAAATTCACTGCCATGGCTAATACTACTATAATTTATTAACCATATTCATAAATAAAGGAAATGCTATATTTCAATGAAAGGTTAGTGGAAGTAAAGATGTAATTTTTCTCCAGCCAAATTCATAGAACCCCTGAATTCCATCTACATATCCCTGGGTGGATGGGGGTTGTGCGCCCAGGTTAAGAATGCCTAGGTTGGAGGAAAGTCAGGTAGAAACACCAGGAACATGGATATGCATAAATTCCGTTTATATTGTTGCTACTGAAGGTAACACATTAGCAGAGAAAAGGAGGACACAGTCCCCTAAGAAGGTGACCAATGCCCCTAACAAGAGCTGCTACTTTTTGTGCCAGGGGTTCCTGGACACGAAAAGGGGCGTCGGCGGGGGGGGGGGTTGGGGCTGTCCCAGACATTCACTCACATACAGCTCTTTCTACATTCCGCTTTAAAAGTCTCTTCCTGGCATTTGGTCCTGTGCATTTGTCTCTTCCTTCACCTTTCTCTTGAAAGTAAGTGAAAATACTCAACAGGAAGGGTGGTTTATATAGTTAGATCGGGGAGCAGTGCTTCACCTCCAACACTAGGCACAGCTTGCCTTTTGAAGTTATTATAGACATAACACAAGTTTATTTAAGAATAAAAATATCAAGCATACACATGTGCCTGAAGTAGAGCAGAAAAGGCTCCCTACCTGTCTAGCTACTCAAGTCTCACTCCCCAGGTGCAGCCAGTTTGGTGTATTACACCCCAACCTTTAAAATCACCATATGTATTATGCAAGTTAGTTTTCTCACTTACACAACTGTGCGTGTTGATATATTAAATCAGCACACAGTATGAATACTGCTCTTTGGCGCGGTATCCTCACACTGGGGGAACCACCTGTTCTAAGACGCACGCAACACCTGCACCTCGCGGCCTGGACGCGCGTGGAATACCCCGTCCAACCGGCCCAACCTTCTTCCCTTGCCGGCTGCACTTCTAGGCCCTTTTCTTTTGGTTTTTACGTTTGCTCCCCCTGGCAACTCATCGCCTTGCCTACTAAGTATTTCGGGAGTCCGGGAAAGCATCTCGTGGCTGAAGTTTCGAATCTGCCAGGTGTCCGGGAGTGGCTCCGAGACGCGCGAGCTCCTTGAAGGGCTCTGGGAGATGCGCTGCCGGGAGCGGCACAGGAGGTTCCCGGCATCACGCTTGAAAGCGACGCGGCCCCGCCAACACGCTAGGAAGTCGGCCTGGCACCCCCGGGGCCGAGCCACCGCCCCTGCCCCGCGGAAAGTCCCCGGGTCTTCCCACCGAATTGGCTCGGTGGCTGCTACCAAGTCTCCGCCGCTCCCCCGCCCTCCCGGGTGAGTGTGAGTGTGGCTCAGCGAGAGACCCGCAGGCCCACGAGCCCGGCCCTGGTGGCGCCCACGTCCCCCCGGAGTCCACGCACCTCCTCGCCAAGAGCCCGCGCCGTCGCCGTCACCCTCGCCGGCCGTGTGCGCCCTCCCCTGGACACCGCGCCGCCGCCTTTATAGGACACCGCGCCGCCGCCTTTATAGGACACCGCCTTTTGTCTCGCGAGCTCTGGGGGCCCCTTCCCGACGGGGACTCCCACCGGTTCCTCCCCATTCCCCGCGCCCTGGCTTCCCGGATCAGCCCGCTCTTGTGTTCCAGAAAGGGAGCAAGGGAGGAAAGAGAGCCCCGTCTTGTGTGAGACTTGGGGGCGGTAAGGGGGTCCTGCCACACACCTGGGCTAGGGGAGCCGCTTACCCACCTCCTTCTCCAACACATTCAAACCTGGGAAAGTCGGTATCCACTGTTAATTCATCAGTTGTTTATTAAGCCTCAGTGAACTTCCAACTGGAGTTCAGGAACCACTTGCTTCAGAGTCACAGGTGGGGAAGGAGGATCCCAACACCCACAAGCCAGACCCACGAAACCAGGAGGTTTTTGGGGGTAGGGGTGTGGTCCAAAATCTGTATTTTTAAAACCTAAGCATTTCAGGAGATTAAGATGCACAGCAGAATTTAAGTCACTGTACTGGGCAAGGTTCCGAATTTAGCCATCTGTTTCCACAGTGCCCAGTGAGGGAGGGGCCTCCTAATGGGTCTTCCTGCTTCTGCACTTGCCTCCTTGTCTGTTCTCCAACATCATCCAGAATGATGCTATGAAAACACAAGTCAGATTCTGGTCACTTCTCCACTCAAAACCCCATAGTGGCTCTCCATTTCACTGGGTTAAGCTGAAGCCCTTGTAAGGGGCCCGGACAGCCGGGCGCGGCGGCTCAAGCCTGTAATCCCAGCACTTTGGGAGGCCGAGGCGGGCAGATCACTTGAGACCAGGAGTTCGAGACCAGCCTGGCCAACATGGTGAAACCCCATCTCTACTAAAAATATAAAAAATTAGCCAGGCATGGTGGCGCACCACTATAATTCCAGCCACTCGGGAGGCTGAGGCAGGAGAATCGCTTGAACTTGGGTGGTAGGGGTTGCAGTGAGCCAATATCATGCAACTGCATTCCAGCCTGGGGACAAAGCAAGATGCTGATTGGGATTGCTGGATAGGCTCAGCCATGACAAAGTTATATTTGGGGTTGCCTGTGCAGCCTGGACGCCACGGAGCAAACCCACAACTATCCATAGCCCTCATATAACATGAGTGAGAAATCAATCTTTACTGTCTTAAGTCACTGAGACTTTGGGGTTGTTTGTCACACCACCACCCACCTTACCCACCTCCAAAACAAACTAACAATACAGATTTATTATAAATTAAAATGTGTTGGATAAATTGCTACGTTATGGTGGTAGGCGGGGAGTGCGGTAGGATGGGAGGTGGGCCCAAAGGTGAGGAAAGCTCTGTATCTGTTTTCAAGGTACTAACTGTATTCGAAGGGAGAAGACATGACAATGTGACTAATATAAGATAGACAGTCCCGCATGCGAGAGTGTGAAATTAGAGTTAGGGATAGAGCGGTAGATTCTAGCTGGATCAGAGGTTGCCCATGGGAAGCATGGCATTTAAACTAGGCCTTGGAGCAAGGGTGGCTCTGACATTTGTGGGGTCCATGACAAGGGTACAAATGGAGACTCCATCCCCACCCACATTCTTTTCCCACCCGCTAGCTCTGTCCTTTTCTGTGAAGGGCCTTGTTGTGAATATGATGTGAACTAACCCACATGGGCCTCAGGAATAGCCCTATCTAGGCCCTGGAAATGGGCTCACAGCCATTTGAGCAGAAATTCAGGGGTCCCAGATACCCAGAATACGTTCCAGAAGGTAGGACATGGGGGTTGGGGGTTGGGTGAGCACTGGAGGAGGGCCAGAACAGGGCCATCTAAAGCGCAGTGTCCAGGGCAGGGGCTCTGACTGCCTGGGTGGCTGGTGGAAGGGTAGTAAAGGCTGGGTAGGAATTATAATACTAGTGTAGGAGTGGAGGAGAGGGCAGCCCAGGCAAACGCAACCGTGTGCTTTGAACATGGGAACAGTATGTTTAGTTACAGGTCACAGGACTCATTCTGGTGGCAGTATAGAGGATGGATTGGAGGGTGGATTAGAGAAAATTAGTTGGTCAAAAGCGATCTTTAGAAACATAACCTAAAGCCAGACATGGTGGCTCATGCCTGTAATCTCAGCACTTTGGGAGTCCAAGGCGGGTGGCTCCCCTGAGGTCAGGGGTTTGGGACCAGCCTGACCAACATGGTAAAAACCCATCTCTACTAAAAATACAAAAATTAGCCAGGTGTGGTGGTGCATACCTGCAATCCCAGCTACTTGGCTGGGATTGCATGAGAATTGTTTTGCTTGAGGCAGAGATTGCAGTGAGCCGAGATCACGCCACTGCACTCCAACCTGGGCGACAGAGTTGAGACTCCATCTCGAAAAACAAACAACAAAAACCTAATGTTTGCAGTCATTTTCCCCGATTTGCTCCTCTTTCTGCTCCTCTGTTCTACCTATATGGCAATTCCGATACAGCAAATGTTACATTTTAAAGCAATAACCAGTATTAATCTTCACCTTAGCCAAAAACTGTAAGGTAATATTTTTTTCAATGGCATATTTTACAGCTGAGAAAAAGAACTGTGGTAATAGTGCAGCAAGATTGGAAATGTGTGATGCTAAATGAAACAATAAGCTGTCAAATAGGATCTGTGTGCAAATGGTCAAGGACTGAGAGAAAGGACAGGGGCTGCAGAGAAAGGAGCATGATTGTGTTGACATACTGGGACCAGGATTGAAGTTTTTTTCCTTTCAAAATGTTCTTAAATGCTATTGTTGGTTTTATACTTTTAGAAGCTGGGGAACAATCTTTGGGGCACCATTCCACTAGCAGTGATTCTTCAGAGTGATGAGTCCTCTCCCATACCAGTGTCCCAATGTAGAGAATTTGGGGGCTAGGACCTGCAGGGGAAGGGGTTGAAGTAGGAATTTACATAAGCCGATTATTGGGGGATTAGGTTTGGGCAGCTAAACGCCTCTGTGTGCTTGAGCTAAAACCCTTACTATTCATGGCTCTCACCGCCCCCTGGAGAGACTGCACCTGCGAGCTCCTGGGGAGGAAACAGAGGGCTGGGGAGGGAAGGGCAGGTCACTAGGAGAGCTTGGGCACTGTCAGGCTTTCTGGTTCTCCTGGTTTAATTGATCTGTCTGGATTAGCCTGTGAATCTTGGCCTTCTAGTCCTATATACAGGGGTTGTCAGTTTCAGGAAAGACCAAACCTTGGATTTTTGTTATTTATTTAATTTATTCATAAAAGTAGAGACGGGATCTCACCATCTTACCCAAGCTGATCTTGAACTCTTGGACTCAAACAATCCTCTGGACTTGGCTTCCCAAAGTGTTGGGATTACAGGAGTCAGCCACAGCCATGGCCCAAACTTGGAACTTCTGGAAGGGATTTCTGCCATCCTAAGTGGGTGTGGGCCAAGACTGTTTTGGCTGGAGGTCAAGCATCAGCCTTTGCCACTCTTAAAACTCTCTTCTTCCCTCCTCCATTCTTGACCCTTTACCAATCTCCAATTCTATGTATTGAGGCCCCTATTCATCCATCTCTCCATTTATCCAGTCATTTATTCATCTCTTCTTTCATCCACCTATTGTGCATGCATCCATTAATTTATTAAACAGATGAATTAGCTGGTTCTTGATATTTAATACAATTTACTAGTAAATCCTTCTAGGTAGGTTTTGTTCCTTCATGTGTTCTGTCTCAAATTAATTTTGGCACGTTGACATATAATTTTGGACATTTTCTGATTCATTAGAAGAGTGTTTTATTCAGTTATTCAGTTACTTTCTAAAATCTCTGTATTTGTTTTATACCTTCTCATGCCTCATGTTATGTGTTTATGACTTCTCTTTCTCTCTTCTTGATCCTTGTTGCAAAAGTCTGTCCATTTTATTGCTCTTAACTAGCTCTGGGATTTGCTTATCATTTTTGTGATTTTCAAATACACTTTCTACCAAATCTTTATTAAATCTGTTCTTTTTATTTATGTTTATCTCCTCTCCACCCTACCACTCTTGGAACGAATGCTTATTTATTTTTACTCTTTCTTGTTTAGTAAGAAAAGCATTCCAGGGTGTGAACTTTCTTCTGATATACCTTTGGGGATATCCTGTTTTCATTTGCAGTATCATTGTCCTTGGTTTCTAATGTCTGTTGCTTATTTTTCTTTTTGAAAGTGTTTTTAAATTTTCTTGTGTTTTTTGGCAACCATTTGCAATTAGTTTCTAATTTTGTTGCATTATAGTGAAAGATATGCCCTGTATGTTTTTTGCTTGGGGATATTTATTGAGCATTTCTTTCCTCTTTGGTAAAACATACATTCAAATTTTATAAATGTTTCATAGGTACTAGAAAAGGAGATATATTCTCTGTTTGAATGGCAAAATGTCCTTTTACACATCCATTAAATAAATTTATATTCTTGGAAGTTTTGATCTACTTGATCTATTCAAGAGAGCACTGTGTGAAAATCTCCCTTTACTATTTTGTGTCTGTTCTTTTTGTTTTTCCCGGAGTGTTTGCTTTAGATCTTTACATCTTTTGATGCATTGCTTTTAAAGCATAAAGACCCATGGAAGTTTTTTTATTGACTTAGAGGATTGTAGCCTATATCAGTATAGAATGTCTTGCTTTTTACCATGAATTTCATTTTGTTTATTATATTAATATTACAACCCCTTTTGAATTTGCATTTTCCAAGTTAAACTGTGTCCACTCTTTACACTTAATTTGTGGGTGTGTGGGAGTGACTCTTGGTTGTAAGAAACTCTTTTTGATAAATTTCAATTCTTTTAACTCTTTTTTTCTTTAAAGGAGGCCCTACCTCCATGTTGAATTCTTCAAAACAGATCTTATTCTACTTTACTTGCTACATTATAAACTTCATGAGGACAAAGACTTAGTTTCCTTAATCACTAGACCCCAGGAATTGTGCTCACTTGTGCATAAAAGCTGCTTGATCAGACATTTGTTGAATGAATGCAAGAAAGCTCTTATTTCTTCAGACAGCTGCCTCCAGCCTGCCCTGCTTTCTATCAGCAGACACATAGCTTGCTCTGTGAGGTAATGTTACCAAGGCCATAGAAGGATTATTATTATTATTTTTTGGTTGTTTTTTAAGAAGGAGAGAATATCTTGTCTGCTACATGGAGAGAACAAGAGAAGAGGTGCAGTGGGGGGCCTGGTTAGGATGCTATGAAAGCAATGCAGGCAGGAGGAGATGACAGCTTGATTTGAGGAGGGGGTTGACATTAAGCATCGACTCTGGGCCAGGAACTGAATCCTCTGCCCCAATTATTCAACCTTAAGTTCTAGGTGTCATGCTAGGCATTTCACCCAGGTTTTCTTATTCAATATGAAAAATTGTAAATATTAAAGTTACATAACAAGTTATCCTAAACAAAAAAATTTCTCCCAAAGAAGTCAAATAGTAAAACGTACACTTAAAGAAACAAGCATATAGCTGGCTCAGTTTTACTAGTGGTTTTTAGACACACATCTTTCCAGAGCCTACAGAAGCTGCAAATTCTCACAGATGTTCAAACTACTCCATTCACAGGCCCACAGAGCAACTCAGT